TTGAGTATACCCACTGTTAATCACCAGATCAAGGCGTATAAACAATATTCTTGGTGCTTTCCCTGTAGGATCCTATTCTTCTTTTGGTTTAGCCAAAATTTTTGTTGTTGATATTGATACCCCCTTGATAAACCAACATAAAGTTGTCCATGCGAGAACACAGGTTTTGGAAGATAGGTCCCAACATTAGGGATGGTTTGTCCCTGTGATTTATTTATGGTCATGGCAAAACTTAACCGTACTCGGAATTGTTTTCTCTTGAACTTGAAAGTAAGGGAAATATCATCTGAGGGAGACAGCGGGGGCCTTGGTATGAAAACCCTTTTTCGCGCATCTTGTACACCAACGATCTCGGCGTCAATTGCATTGTTTTGCAATGCTCTGAATATAAGCCTTGTTTCGTTGCACAATCAGTTGTTAGGATCAAGATTGCGGAGAAGAATCACAGGACAGTTGATTTTTAGCTTCAGCTCGTGTGGGGGAGGCCATTTGGAGTTATCGAGTTCAAAAAATCAATAGAGAAGTGATTCTGAGGATCGTCCAGAACTGTGCCGAAGCTGTGGTAAACCTTTTCCTCACCTGAAAACCTATCAATCATCATTGCGTTCAGCCTATCAACATGTTCATTTTTGGTCGATAGAATGGCACGGGAGCTCATATAGGCGGTTGATGTTGCATGTTCTTCAAGTGATGGGAAAACATCTTGAATGAGTTTGTTGACGCCACCTCCGTGTCAAGATAACCAATCACAATGTCAACATAATCATCTCCAATTGTTTCTTAGGTTTCATTTTCAATTCGTAATAGGTACTCGAAAACCAAGGGTCGATTGTGCCCTCATGTTACGTGACAATCTTATCTTCCTGAAATTCTCCCACAAATAGGATCTTTGCAATGTAGCATCAGGTTACCTGTGCTCGTGTCCCACGTGTCACCACAGGAAGGACCTGTGCAAAGTCTCCACCAAATACCATGACCTTTCCTCGACATGGCAAGAACATTCCATAATATCACCAGTAGGGACCTATCAAGTGTTTCAACGACCGCGCTTGGCCTTGGTCATGGCTTCATCCCAAATAATCAAAGATGCCCTACGAAGCAACTATGCAGTGCCACTTTGCTTCATAAAGCTGCACATGTTGTTGTCCCCAATTTTAAATGGAATTTTAAACCTTGAGTGTGCAGTGCATTCTCTGGGCAGTATCGATGCCGCTATACCAGATGTGGCTGTTGCGATGGCTATTAATCCTTCGGACCAAACTCTAGCAAGGAGGGCCTTGTATAGGAACGTCTTGCCCGTGCCTCCAGGACCATCTACGAAAAAAACTTGGCTCTTATTAGCAAATACATGCTGAATAATTTCATCAAACCCTTCACGTTGCTCCTTGTTAAGAGATTCATAAATATGTAAGTGTTCTTGGTCTATGGTGACATTTTGTTCCTCTCTAACCTCTTTCATCATATCACTGGAGCTTTGACCCACGTCGCAAACAGGTGGCAGACCATAATCTCTTATATCCTTCCTCATTGAGTGAACCATACTCCATATGTCTCAGTACCATTTGCTCCACTGCGGACATTTTGCTATTGTGACATCTAAAGTCTTCACCTAGAGCGTCCTTATGCTTGTCCCATAGTCCACGTATGTTAGTGGCCTCGCAGAAGACAAGAATGGTAGCAAACAACCTTCGCAAGGCACACGACATCTGGAAAGTGGTGGCCTCAGTCAAGCAGTCATCGATTGATTTGTCCGTCTCGGTAAGCCCTCTTTTGTCGCATGCTTCCCTAAAATTAGAGTATGTGACACTAGACACTGTTCTCAAATCCTCATATGATGTTGCACCTCTCACATGATTCAGTAGAACTCTTAGGAAGTATCTCTCTCCTTCATCAGGGTTTGCATAGACAATCTGCCCTATCTGTCCTGACGTTTGTTTCCTTATTTGCCACACTTTTTTCCCTTTGATCCAATGGTAGTATTCTGGGAATTCTCTGTAGGGAGAGGAATCTAGAGCACTATAAAACAGCCCAATGTTGTAGCCCTCTTGTTCCATGTTGCTAAAAAGCATCTTTTAGTGTTTATTGCATATACCATTAGTCAAGTTACAAGATCATGGCGTTAGTTGAGCACTAGCATCATACTACCCAATGCAATAACCCATAGGAATCAAGGAATACAGGATATCAAATCGCTAGGAAAATTACTACGGCTGCCAAGGTAGACACGTGCATATGATTAAAATGATAATAAGGTGAATAGGACAACAAGGAAGATCCCAGTATTATGACTGCACCATCTGGCCGGAAAATCATATCCATCTTCTCCAGAAAAAATGTGTCTGCATCACTCCTACCAATTTTGACACAAACATTATTAATAGAAGGTACAATTTGCCTTTGCATTACCAACCCAGGAGAAAGAACAAAGAACACATACTTCTTCTGATATAAACCGAAGATGCCATTGCAATAATGTACCGGGTTGTATTACACAGGGTATCTAGAGAAATTTTATAATGGTTGGAAAAAATATGGACCATCCATGGAGCTAGATCGGACGGTGTAAAAATAGGAGGTACCTGTGTAAAAGTACTCGGTACGAACAAAATAGTGGGGATAGTAACAAAATAGGTAGGGCCAGTACCGAAACAAGTGGGGTCAGTTTCGAAATTATCTGGAATTTCAGTTAAGGGTAAATCTGTAATTTCATCCCCTTCATCCATGGCACAACACTGTCATCCCATCCCATCTCAGTCTCACCGTCGATGGGAAGAGCAACCAGACCGTCGCCACCGTCGCACCAGAGGCCGCCGGTTCCATCACCACAGCGTAAGCCAGCCGCCTGTGCCGTGCTTCATCCCTGCAGGGTCGGCATGTACTTACAAGCTAAGCCGCGCCTCTTCCTCACGCAGAAGGACGCCAAGGTGACGCCCGAGTCGGAAGACCTGCCGAAGCTCGTCGGCCATGCCGCCGGGCCCCCAGCATGCGGACACGCACACGTTGGTGACCGCGGGAACGCGCAGCAGGCAGAACGCGCGCTCCGCCAAGCACAAAAGCTCCACGCATGCGCAACGCTCCGACAGAACAAAAGCTCAGCTTCCTAGAGCTCCGGCAGAACGCAAGCGCAGGACCGTCACCCGCTCAGGTCTAATTTGGAGTTCAGAGGAATGGATATTGATAATCGATGCGTGGTCTCGATGCGTGGTCTGTAATGAGAAGGGCGAAGATGGAGGCCACTTATTTTTTAAATGCAGCAGGGTGACCTCAATATGGGCAGGGCTGGGCATGTCATCACACTGTGAACATCTAGCCAGTGTTGAATCGGCAAGAGAAGCTGTGCGGTACATTTTGGGACTGCCAAAGCTTCCACAGCTAACAATGGCGGTTGGGATGTGGACATGGTGGTCGGAGCGAAATAGAATCAGAGAAGAAGGCAAACAAAGACCGGACTATGTCATAGTCAAGCTGATAGAATGCTACACGGGGGACCTTGTACAACAGAACGCCAAGGAAACCAGGACGGTGATCAGAACTGTCCAAAAGTGGCAGCGACCGGCACAATTTTTTTTGAAGATCAACTGCGATGCATCTTTTCCCCGGGAGACAGGGGACGGCGGATGGGGGTTCATAATCCGGGATGAAGACGGTGATATGGTCTCGGCTGGTCGGGTCGACTTTCCCACATTTTGGACCCCTTCCAAGCTGAAGTAGTGGCATGTCTACAAGCGCTACAAGCGGCAATTGACTTGGGCATATCCAGAGTTCATCTAGAAACTGATGCCGTGCAAGTTCAGTAAGCAGTGGAGTCTCAGAGATGGGACCTCTCCATGGCCGGAGGGTTGATTAGGGAGATCAAAGAGCTTGTGAGTCTGAACTGTGTGGAGTTTAAAATAAGGGCTGTCCCTCGTTCTTGTAATAGAGTGGCACATGATCTAGCTGCTCTTGGGTGTGTGTGTTCGGTGGACGATGACCGTATCATGGCTCATCCTCCAGATTGTATCTTGAACATTGTTGCTGCCGAGCGTGCAGACACAGAGTAATGGAATTGCATTTCCGTTTCAAAAAAAAAGATAAGTGTAAAGATGGTCATCGTCACAAATGTGAGATGTGACGGTAGACACATTATATTCGCTGACCATGTACAAATCTGTAGTCTCACTAACAGCAGGAAAGAATATGTACGTAGCAAGAATATCTGAGAGCATGCATGAAGTGATCCGTATACATGCCAAAGGAATCTAAACTTAGTTTGAGATATAAATATTAATAATCTAAACTTGGCCATCGCCGGCTGTTAGACCCCGAGATCAGAGAATTCCAAGATGCGTTAGCAGGCTTCACCTTGGACGAGATATTGAGTAAAAAGGGGCTATTCTTCATTGCACGGCCCAAGAAGTTCAAGGTATCATATGGTAAAGAGGACCTCGAGAGACTATTGTAATAGGGATCTAGATAGATTTGTGATAATGTCTTCGTCTTTGATAAATACTTTTTCAATGTAACCGTAACATTTGTAATATAAATCTTGATGGGTTTGTGATCTATGTGAATCTAGTATACATAGCAAATATAGAGTACCACACAAAATTATAAAATAAATTATAAAATAACAAAATGCAAAAAAGAGATCATTATTGGTTCACCAAACACTGGCAGTGATGATTGACATAGCACTGCCGGCTCAAGTACTGAATCGGTAGTGTTGCTCGACTCAACACTGTCGGTTGCAATCCTATCAAGCATAAACTCGGTCTCTGCTCAAAAAAGTATAAACTCGGTCAAGGTTAAACTAGTTTCACTTGGAGATATAACAAACTTGCATTCTTTTGTGGACCGAGGGAGTAACATACATCCAAATTTTCTATATACCATGAAAGCTTTACATCTTTTAGATAAGTGCAAAGATGGTCATCACACATTTCACAGCACTATTCGCTGTAACAATAATATCTGAGAGCATAAAGTGATCCGTACATGCCAAAGGAATCTAGACACAAGTTCTAGTGTTCCTTGGACTTGGAGTTGGAGAGTAGGTTAGCATAATCACCAGGGCCATAGAGCTCAAACAGTTCTGAAAAGAACCCCTTCTTCCTCCTAGGATTGCACCCCATGTCACGGCAGAGCTGGTCGTTGTACCAAGTGTTCAGGATCATGATGCTGGACCGGCGGAAGTATCTTCCACAGTATCTCTTCATGTACTTCTCCCATTCGAGCACATCCTTCTGCATTGCCGCGACGTTGGGTAGTCTGAAGCTGCCATCCAAGAAGCGTGCCAACCACTTGGCGCGAATGTCCGAGGCGTACATGTTCGAATGGGTGTCAGAATATCCGATCACGGCGAGCTGAGGTATCTTAGGATTTATGCACTGTCTGTTTGTGAAACATGGATGTTTGAAAATTTAGCACGATTCATAAATGATGGCCAAGATCGAGAGTTCAAATTAGGACAAATGGTGAGAAAGATATATATACATATATACCTGTAGAGAGGCACAGTAGTGGATTCTGACCCAATCGCGACGTTCCGGAAGTACTCTGAAGTGAACATGTCCTTGATCTTCTCGTCGCCCTTGAACCCGGTGCCGAAGATCACCACGTCGCTCTTTACCGGCGACGGCTCGCCGTCCACGAGTACGCCTTCCTTGCATAAGCTGAATGTCTTGTACTTCTTGAGCATGATGCTGCCTTCTTCCAGCCTCTTGTAGTGGTCCTTGGGCGTGACGCAGATGATGGCCGCAGCCAGCGCCTGGAACAGGCTGTGGTCAGGCACCATGCCGTGCTTCTTCATTGGGATGGAGTAGTAGCTCTCGGCCAACTTATAGAACGCCCACCTCTACACACACAGTTAAATTAAACACACGAATTATTTAATTTATTTCTGAATTCATCACTCCGAAAAGTAGTATATATGTTTATCAGTTATTAATTATTACAGAAGTAGTAATAACTGGATGCATTAGACATTAGTGTTTACTAGCAAATATGCCCCTGTGTTGCAACGGGAGAACAATTTATTGTATTGTCAGGGGCACGAGCAGAGACAGTTTTCACACTCATCGAGTAACAGATAAGAAATTGCTGAAATTCTTCTCCAACTAACTTTCCACGTTCAATACACTACTACAAAATGGACTTGTTGTCCCAGGCGGTAATGGCCTTTAGTCCCGGTTACCGCGTCGGGACAACGATCCCGGGACTAAAAGTGCCACCTTTAGTCCCGATCATCGAGCCGGGACTAAAGAAGGACCTTTAGTCCCGGTTGGTGTTACCAACTGGGACTAAAGGCCCTCCAGCCGAGCAAACGTGGCCGCACCCTTTAGTCCCGGTTGGTAACCCAACCAGGACTAAAGATTCCTTTTCTTTTTCTTTTTTTTTTGTTTAATTTGTTTTCAGTTCAGTTACACGTATTTGTTTAATATATAGTATGTTTTTATGTACGTATTCTACGCTGCTAATATAAATACACGCACGCATATAATTACATCTAATTCTCATCTCAAGCATTATTATATTCGAATAAAGTATGAACCTATATATATTATAGATATATATATGTATATATACAACACTTTCATAATCTTGTTCTCGAAAATAACGATATCAATAAACATTTAATTTACACCATTTAATCCTTAGGATCAAAGTAGAACTCGCCGTTGGGATTTAGCACTTTTTCTAGAAGAAATCCTGCTATTGACTCTTGAACTGCTTTCAGATGGTCTTTTTGCATGACCCTTCGTTTCAACCATTCAGTCTTGCATTTGAAATAAAAGGAAAAGTATTAATACATATATATATATATATATATATTCATTTAAAAATAAATAAAAAATTGATATATACGTGCTCTGAGGACATCTTTAGGAGTTCTCCTTATGTGCGCAGTGATAAATTCACAAACGTAGTATCCACACAAGTTATTACCTGGTTGCTGCCGTAAACACCACTGTATGAGAAGAAGATTATTCTCATCATCTCACACGTAAATTGAAGTATGATATAGTAATTAAACACGTGGGGAAGTGTATATAGTACAACTTACTGGTATTTCACCTACATTAAGTGGTGCCTTGCAATCCTTGCGATGTTGCCGAATAAACTCTTTCCAAACCATGTGCGACCAATAATGTACGATCGTTAATAAATTATGGCAAAGTCTATTCAGTAATAGTTGTGCGCGAGAGATCGAAATTACCCCTGGATAATGTCTATCATATCTTGGTATAGTGCCCGCTTTCTCAACGAGTCAAAGATTACTAACCGACTTGAGTTTAACTCAATGACAATGAGTATCCAGTGAAAACTGCATTAGTTTATACATACAGGTACATGCATATAAGTTGTTTTGATATTACATAAAATGTGTAGACTACATTATTATTAACACTTACTCAAAGTTGTATGGGAAAAGTATTGTTGTCTTGTCGTGCTGCTTCACGAAGAACATCATGATATTCTCCTGTGCTTCAGATACCCACCGCTCCTTGATAATAATACCGGTTTTGAATACGATATAAGGATCAATGAAGCCAACACTGGTGTCTTGTATTCTTTGGAGCTCTGACATCTAGAATCTGTATATAAATATAAGTTACATGTGAGGATAATTATATATACGTACGCATGGAAATGAGTTTATTAAATAAAAGTAAGAATCACTTACAAACAAAAGGAGCTAATGATTGATTTGTCCAGAGCGTCCAAGTGGTATAGTTGATGCAATTCTTCGAAACTAATATGTAAGATGTCATCACCACGGAAGTAATGATGGTCTCTAAATCTGACAAAGATCTCATCGCTCACCCCCGCCACACGCTCGCATGTATCAATTGTTGAGCAAGTACATTTATGCACTCCAATTCATTTAGAGCCGCAGGTTGTATGCACTTTTGCCATATTTATAAGTCTTCCGTATCAACTTCTAGGTTCGGATTGGAGCTTTGCCGTCAATTGATCCAAGGTTAAACCAGTATCTTCAAAAAAGCATTAAGGGCTTGAACCGACACTTCTCCAGAGTTGTCTGGTCGATAGACTTCTATGTTGGAACCATATTCATTAGCAACAACAAGATTTTGCATTGGTTGCTTCATTGTCCGAGCCGTGGGACATCCTTCCCCGATGCTCTTTTCCTTTTCTTATCTGCATCATGTGACTTCACGAGGGAGCGGTCATAGTCTGATAGTGGCGAAGGCTTACGAAGTTCAATCATCTTTTTCTTGTGAGCATCGACCTTCTGCCTCAGCACATCTCGTGGTATGTAAAAGTACGGCTTCTCCTTAAGCTTCGCTTGACTCTTGTTTTTGATATCTATAAAAAAATCTTACACTTTTTTGTCTTCTTCAGCTGCTATTTGCTCATCAGTCTTTTGAGGATGTATTTCTTGAGAAATAACTCTTTTTCTCGGGGTCTTCTTTGCCGCCAGGACCTTAGACGTCTTTGTAGTGCGTCGCTGTGGAGGGGTTGGGGGCGGTGTTGGAGACCGGCGTGGAGGCGATGAGGCCGGTGTTGGTGGAGACCGGCGTGGAGGCGTTGGAGATCGCTAGGAGGCGGTGGGGCGGTGTAGGAGTTGGAGATCGTTGTGGAGGCGATGGGGCCGGTGTAGGAGTTGGCGATCACCATGGGGATGAAGTCGTCTCGCCTCATGACGACATGATGATGAGATGGGAATGAATGATTAGGCTAGGTGGGGGAGACCCTGCTATAAAAACAAGTTGTGTGTCAATTATTTTTGAAGCCAGAGAAAATTAATGGAAAATAATATTTCATTCACTTTCATTCGTACCTAGGGTGAGGTAGGGAAGCGGTGGCGCCTCAGAATGATGATGAAGCGTTTGCGCCATTGAATAAATGTCTTCTCCGCTTCTCCTAGTGTCTTCTCCCCATCACCGCCTTCAATGTCAAGAGGAACATTGTCTGTAACCTTTGAGCACTCTATCGACCGAGACGCTAGCATATCCAAAGTTGAATAACTCGACCCATGGATTCTTGGTGTCTTCGTTTGGTCTATTGGAGATACAACCCGACATACCACCATGATTGATGCATTATTACCATCCGGAATGTGCAGCTCACATGTTGTTAGAGGCTCGGTAATGTCATCAACAGGGAAGCGCAACCTAGCGTCGTCTTGAATAACTTGCAGCTCCGTAGAAGCACAACTGATTTTCATCTGACCAACGGGGCTAATGGTGACTCCCGGCGTTGATTGCGATTGCATTTGACTCATTGCTAGCTGCACTTGCCTCTTGATCTCCTCCCGCATTCTTGCCTCAAGAGATTTTTCTCGTTCACATGATTCAAGCAATGCTTGTCGTGACTCATCAACAAATTGCTCCAATGCACGGATTCGCTCGCCCTCCTCATCCTTCTTTCTCCGGCGGCTTCAGAGGTATCCTTGTTCTGCTGGGAATGCGTAGCCACGGAACCGCCCCATAGCCTCTTGTTCGACCACCGTGTTCGGGATTCTCTAGGGCATATGTCAATTCATCCTTCTCTCTGGGGCTTGAAAACACCACTATCGCCTTCTTCCCTAGCACGAGCTAGTCTCTGTGTTGCTCTCTCAATTTTTGGCCGAAAATTAGCTTGCCGATTAATCTGGTCTAGGCTTCCCCATGAGCGTGAGAACCAATTCTTCGCGCATTGAGGCCGGTTCTTCTCTATTGTTTCGTGTATGATTCCCTTGGCGTAATCTCGCTTCTAGGTTCTCGCCACTTGGGAATAGCACTCCTATAACCACCTGATCCCATGCGATGATGGTATTGCTTCTATCGGGCATTCTGCCGATTCCTCATCACACGTTCCTCACTGTCTTGATATGTCTTGTATTCTACGAAGGCATCCCAATGGGACTCCAACTTGACAAAAGCCTTAGCATTGAAATCCGGCGTAGCATTCTTCAAGATAAACTTTTTATACAATGTCTTCTTCCAACTCTGGAACAATGTTGCCATCTTCTTCATTGTCCAATCCCTCACTAGCTCCTTCAAAGCATCATCTGCTTGTAATGTGAAATGCTGAGTGATATCTCTCCAAGCTAGGTTCTTGTCACGATCAGATACAAAACTAACATTAGGAGCGGATATCTTCTGCTTCCATTCACGAGCACTAACTGGGATCCTATCCCTTACAATGAACCCACATTGATTGACATATGTCTGAGCATGTGGTCCCAATGGTTTGCCGGTGTCGGTGTTGAATTCTGATATTATGAAACGGCCCTCTAAAGGCTTTTTTGGCCCTCGGACTTTCCTACTTTTGTCGGTGGTTGATATAGATCCAGAGACCGGCTACATGAGTAGAAACACAACGATTAACAACAAATATACGTACACATGCATCTATAAGAGATGATAGATAATCGAATATACCTCGCCAGTATTTTCTTGCGCGACAATTTGTTGATCTTCAACCACCGGCATATTCAGGATATCCTCATAATCAGCAAAGTACTGACTCGTGTCATCTACATCCACATTGGTGCCGGCGTTGATAATATCCGCCATTATGTCATCATCCGGAGCAGCCATTTGTATCTTCAAGATAACACATAGATAGAATTACTATGGTACATAACATAAGTACATGTGATAACACATATAGAATAAGGATAAACAATAATAAGGTATAGGCTTTGGAATCGAATCAAAAACACTTTCGATCCAAAAACATGAAAATAAGTACATGTATATATATACACATAGAATGATACAATATATTTTCTCTCTCTCTCAACACATAGAAATAAGTGCATGTCTATATCTCTAGATATGCATGTGATAACACATAGAA